TAATAATAGTAGTAGTAGTAGTAGTGGTAGTAGTAGTAGTAGTAGTAGTGGTAGTAGTCGTAGTGTAGTAGCAATAGTAATAGTAGTAGTAGTAGTAGTAGTAGTAGTACTACTACTACTACTACTACTACTACTACTACTAGTCGCAGTCGTACTCATCGTAGTAGTAGTAGTAGGAGGAGGAGGAGGAGGAGGGGTGATGGTCGCAGCAGTAGTAGTGGTAGTAGCAGTAGTCGTAGTAGTAGTGGCTGTGGTAGTAGAAGCAGTCGTGATAGAGCTAGTACTACAAGTCGTATTAAAGATAAGAGGGGAAGCAGTGGCAAGAGTAATAGTAAGAGTACTTGTTTATACAAGCAGTACGGAAAGTAGAAGCTGCAGTAGCCGTACTAGTAGGAAAACTCTGTGGTCAGAGTAGTTGTCGTAATAGTAGTAGTAGTAGTCGCCGTGAAAGTAATAGTATTAATCGTGGAAAATGATGGAATTAGTAGTACTAGCAGTGATAGTGGTAATACATCGGCGCCCCGAAAGTTTATTTCGATTTGAGAGGCACGGCGCCGCGCGAATGCAGCGCAAACGCGATGCTGGAAGGGGCGCGACAACGCACGCCCCCTGGACACGCGAGAGCAGCCGCGCCCCCGCGCGAATCCCGATCCCGCGCGGAGCGCGTTCCCTTTGACAATGGCCCACCAGGGACACAGTTTCTTGCGCAGAAAGTCCTGAGCGGTCTGCCCATCGGCGGCTCCTTAGGACGAGGCCCGGAACCACCGAGAAACCGTTTTTGATGGGACGTTCTAGGCGGTTTGCCCATGCTCGGTTTCTTCGGAGCGGGTCCGGACACCTCGAGAACTATGTTTTTGCCCGGTGTCCTAGGCGGTTTGCACATTTTCGGGTCGTCCGAACCGGACCCGAATTTCTGGTTGGCACAAGTCTTATGGGATTTGGCCACTTTCAGGGCAACCGATAAAATTTTCGGGTCGGCGTATGACCGAACCCGAAAGCTTCTTTCGAGGAGGTCCTATGCCGTTTGCTTATTTTCGGGTAAATACACCGTTTGGGATTTCAAATTTTACATTGGGAAGGGGAACCCGATCCCGCGACCCCGGGCGGGGGTTAGGCTCTGTCCTTGTATTGTACTGGGCCTCTCCAGCCAAACGGGGCGCTGGGCTGCCCATCGGCGCGCCGACTCTGCCCTCGCGACATCGCCGCCATCCGCCCTCGGGCCCCGCGAGTCATGTCCCGCGCGCGCCACCCCAGATGGCCGCGGCCGGCACGGTGGCGAAATTGGGGAAACTTGGGGATCGGCGCAGTAGTAGTAGTAATAATAATAGTAGTAGTAGTAGTAGTAGTAGTAGTAGTAGGAGTAGGAGTAGGAGTAGTAGTAGGAGTAGTAGTAGTAGTAGTAGTAGTCGTAGTAGTAGTAGTAGTAGTAGTAGTAGTAGTAGTAGTAAGAGTAGTAGTCGTGGTCGTGGTCGTGGTCGTGGTCGTGGTCGTAGTCGTAGTAGTAGTAGTAGTAGTAGTAGTAGCAGCAGCACTAGTAGTAGTAGTAGTAGTAGCAGTGGTAGTAGTAGTAGTAGTAGTAGTAGCAGTAGTAGTAGTAGTAGTAGTAAGAGTAAGAGTAAGAGTAGGAGTAAGAGTCTAAGTGCTAGCAACAGTAATCGTGGTCGTAGTCTTAGTCGCAGTCGTGGTCGTAGTAGTAGTAGTAGGAGTAGCACCAGTAGTAGTAGTAGTAGTAGTAGTAGTAGTAGTAGTAGTAGAAGTAGTCCTAGTAGTCTTAGTAGTAGTAGTAGTAGTAGGAGCAGCAGCAGCAGCAGTAGTAGTAGTAGTAATAGTAGTAGTAATAATAGTAGTAGTAGTAGTAGTTGCAGCAGACACAGTAGCCGTAGTAGTCGTAAAAGTCGTAGTAGTCGTAGAACTAGTGGTAGCAGAAGTAGAAGCAGTAGTAGTAGAAGTGCTAGTAGTAGTCGTAGTGGTAGAATTGATATAGCAGTAGTGGAAATCAAAGGATAGTATCAGCAGTAGTAGAATTAGTAATAGTAAGACTAGTAGTACTACGACTACGACTACGACTGAGACTACTACTACGACTACTACTACTACGACTGCTACTACTACTACTACTACTACTACTGCTACTACTACTACTACTACTACTACTGATATTAGTCGTCGTCGTCGTCTCTGACCTCCCCTCTTCCATTCCTCTGCCCATCCTCCTCATCTTCAGGAATGGTAGGAGGAGGAGCAGGGGAATGACGAGGACGAGGAGGAGGAGAAGGAGGAGAAGGAGAAGGGGGAAGGAGGAGGAGGAAGAGGAGGAAGCGGACCAGGAAGAAGAGAAGGGACGAGTCCCATTCCCCGCCGAAGGAGACCAGAGGGCCAGAGGGGAGGAGCAAACTAAAGACTTACTGAGGTTACTGGTCTTGAATATAAAGGAATTCGGTAAGTCTGAGGCTCCCCATAGCCAAGAGAGGCGAGAAGAGAGAGGACGATGGATGAGGAAGCGGGGGCACAGGAGGGCAAGGCAGTGGGCGAGGCGGGATCCTCGTCACGCCTTCCCCCTTCCTCAAAGTCACAGGTCGACGGCAGCCCACAAGGGCGCGGCGACGCGGCAACGACATCACGGCCGGGCGAACCGAGCCGCCCAAGGGCAACCGACTGCGAAGCAGCGGATACGGTCAGGAAGCGCGGACACCCCTTCGGTTCCTCCTCCTCCTCCTCCTCCTGGTGGAGGGGGCGTCGTGCCAACGCACGGCGTGGCCGTCCTGGCGAAGATCTTGCACAGACCCAGGAGGAGGTGGCCGGTGTTCCGCAGGGAGAGCAACGACTGCTGGCGCGGCGTGCGGCGAGGGCGCGCCGGGCTGCCGCAGGGGAGGGGCGATGGAGGAGGGCAGGGGGCAGGGCGGTGCCTCCTCGTCCTCCTCGTCCTTCTCCAACCTTTCCTCCTTATCCTCCTCCTCCTCTTATCCGTCTCCGCCTCCTCCGTCTCCTCCTCCTCATCCTCCACCTCCTCCTCCTCCTCCAGCTCTTCCTCGTCATCCTCCATCACCCCCCTCCTCTCTTCCTCTTCCCTGCTCCTGCCTCCTCCTAGGTTTCACCCTGGAGGGCAGCCCCGCTTTTGCTGGGATTGCCTCCCCTCCTCCTCGCCATGCTTTCCAAACCCACGCCACCCTCCGGCGCCTCGTTTCCCTCCCTGACGTCCCCCGCGCATTGTGATAGTGAAGGTGCGCAGCATCGATAGCTTTTTTGTCGAAAGCGAGCGCGGCTCGAGCGATCTGCGTAGCCCAATCAGCCAAGGGCCCTGGGAGGCAAACGCCCGCGGGGAGCTTGGGGTAAAAGGGCAGCAGAAGCTGGGAGCGAGCGGAAGCGAGGCGGAAGCGGGAATTGGGGCGAGGGGAAGTGCTCATTCTCACACCCATGGCAGCTTCATGGGCAGCGAACCTCATCCTCCTACATATCACCCTGCCCTTCTTCTCAATCATTCCTCCTGCTCCCACTCCTCTCCTCATCTCCCCCCTCCGTCCCTTTCCCCTCCATGTCCTTCCCTTTTCATCTCTCCCTCCATGCGCCCACTTCATTCTTCTCCGTCAAACACCTCCATACCCCTCCTCTCCCTCTCTCTCTCTCTCTTTTTCCCCTCCTTCCCCCGTCCCCAACCCCCCCCTCGTTCCTCGATCGGCTCCTATCCCTCTCCTCATGCTCCTCAACCCGCTTCCCGCTCTGCCTCCACCTCCTCCTCCTCCTCCTCCTCCTTCACCTCCTCATCATCATCATGCGCCCCCGCATCTCCCCTCATTCCTCAAACAGTTGCTCATGAATACCCTGTTATTTCAAAGTAGCTTTCAAGGATCCTTTATCCACTTCCGTTCCCGTTGCCTCCTCCGAACCCAGCTCCTCCCCAATTCCCCCTCGTACGGCGTCCTCAACTCCCTTTCCCCTCCTCACTGCTCTGCCCCCCACTATTCCTCATCCGCCCCCTCCACACACTCCTCCTCTCAGCTTCTCTCCTCCTCCTCCTCTTCCCTCTCCTTCTCCGTACTTCTCCATCCAACCTTCTTCTCCTCCCTCTCCTCTCGCCCCCTGGTGTTCATACTCCTCTTCTCCACTCTTCCGTATCTCCTCCTTCTCCTGCTTGTCCCGCTGCTCTTTTCCATTATGCCCTTTCTCGTCCTGCTGTTGCTACTCCAAGACCGTCCACAGCAAAAAAAAGAACCTAGAACCGACTGGACCGACAGCGAAAACGAAGCAGATCGAAAACGACAGGCCGCCAGCAGCCTGGAAAGGCGCAGCGACGCAGCAACAGCACAACAACCAGCCGAACCGAACCGACCGAACGCAACCGAGTGCAATGCCGCCGAACGCAACCGAGCCTCGTCCGACGTCGACGCACACCGCCTTGGAGGACGAGGTAATTCTGGGACCCAGGGCCCTGTCCGTGCTGGAGCGACCGCTCTCTGAGAAGGATTTTAAAACGGACCTGGCCATGGCGACAAGGGCTGGTCGGGAGAGCACACCTCAGAAAATCTTCGACGACGCCAGCCACGCCGACAACGACGCCACCGAAGGCGACGACAACCACGACGAATACGACTGCGACTCCGGCGCTGACGACGACGACGACGACGACGACGACGACGGCAGCGGTAGCTCGTGGGCGGGAGCCATACACCCCCGTTCAGATCCAAAGCTTCGCGGTCTGGGCTCCTCCGCCGCAAGCCCATCATGATGCACGGCGCCACGGGATGGGCCCCACACGCCAGACCAATCCCGAACCCAAAGCGATCCTTGATCTCCGCGCCTTGTCTGCATGGACGTGCCCTCCAACGGCGGGCAGCGGCGGCGACGACGCCGATGCCGACACCGACGCCGACGGCGGCGGCGGCCACGACGCCGCCGGCGACGCCGTCGCCGATGCCCGCGGCGACGGGCAGCGCGCCCTCTCCGTGAAGCTGCGCGCCAGCTCGCGGAGGTCCGCCTCGGAGTAGTCCTGCCGCTTCAGCCTCCTCGATGGCCAGCAGAGGAGAGCGCAGGGCCTTAACTTAAAGGCAAGATTGGGACACATTCGTCCGAGGCTGGGGTTATCGGCTTGGCCAGGCGGTGGGTATGGACAACCCCCAGCCACGCAATTCGGATGGGGGCGAATCCGAACTCTCTGAGAGCCGGCGGGTATGGAGGATGTATCGACATGCAGAACAATCGGACAGATCATGGCTAGATTCGCCTTGGAACTCTGGGCAAAGGCACCCCAGGACAAGTCCTGGGGTCGACTCAGATTGACAGGGAGACCCAGACCTCCAACGTGTTGAGAAAACAAGGGGGCAGCGCTTTCGGCACTGGGGCCTTCTGAAACAACAATGCCCCCCACATTCCTCAGCATCCCCTCCTTCGCCTGTTCCGCCTCCCCCAACTCCTGCTTGGCTTCTTCGCCCGAACCTCCGTCTGTTGCTGTCCTTCGCTTCCATCCTCTTCCTCCTCCTTCTTCGTTCGTTCTCACCCGCCCTCGTCACTCATCCTTCCCACCTTTCTCCCATCGGACCTCTTCTCTTCATCCATCTCCTCCTGGTTCACCGCTCGTCACCCTACGTGACCGTGACGCGACGCGCTGTCTCTATCCAGAATCTCCCGCGCCCCGCCGGAGCCCCGAGGGGCCAGCACTCGTGGAACGGGACCGCCGCCGATGCGGCGCAGCTGCGCTGCCCCCGCACGAAGCCCCCACCCGCGCGTTTGCGCCCAGTCGCCCATCGAGGCGCGGCTTCATTCGCGGAGCGAGACACCGCCCATCGCGGAGCGAGACCCCCGCCGAGGCAACGCATGCCGCATTCTCCCGTTTCTGGTGGCCGCGTGGGGGATCCGAGGCAGGTGGGAATTGCCCACCCGGGCGCATGCGAGGCACGTGTCTGCCTGGGGGGGATAGACCGACTGAGATCCGGGCAGCGCGATCGCAAACTTGAGCATCCCACCCCGAACAATCCTGAGGATGAAGTGGCATGCTTGCGCGCGGTAACTGGCAAATCCCCGCCCTGCTCCTCCACCCTCCCACCCTCTACAATTGAGACGCTCTCATACGGAACCCCAACGAAGGAACGAGGCCCATGTTTCAATAAGTTACACTTCGCCTTCCCACAGAAGCCTGAAGGAACACATAAGACATAAATTGTACAACAGTCAAGGGACACCGAGCTCCTCCCAAACGAGAAAGGGCTCCTTCTTCAGCGGCCCGACTGTACCCCTCTCCCTCCTCGTCCGCCCCCCGCCTCCGCCCCCTCCTGCTCCTCCACGACCGCCGCGGGAACGACGAGGACGATGCCCGTGGGACGACGTCTGCACGCCGCTGCCCCGGGGCCACCGAGAGCCGCGGGCGGGTGGCCGATGGCCGCCGGGTGGCCGCTGGCATGCCCCGCCCAGGTAGGATGAAGCCAGGACGAAGACAACACTGGGTGAGGACCCAGACATCGGATAAAGTCGAGACGCAAGTTTTTCGCAATTCTTGCCCTCTCGGGGCCCTCGCCAGGCCTCGGGACCGTCAACAAAACGACTCGGGACGAAAAACCGGTCCCGGGGAAGTGGTCGGAGGTCGGGGGCCCGCATGTCGAACAGAATCGAGACGTCGGATATTTAGGGATTCCTCGAGAATCTCTAAGATCCGGCGGCTCTGGAGAATGTCTCGGGCGCCGCGGCCTGCTCAGAAGCATCCAGAACGTTTCGAGAGCCTTCCAGAACGCTCTGGAACGGATTTGCCATCGTCCCAGCCCCGTCCAAGGGTGGGTGGCCGATGACCGCCAGAGGACCGCCGACCTGCCCCGCCCAGGGCCGATCCGCACTGCCCCCGTTGAATCGACGGCGGCAGGAATGTACCACTGGACCGGGGCATGGTCGAGCTACGAATCCGAGATGAAGATTGGTTTGAACTGTGGGGGGAACGACGAATGGAATTACGCTACCGAGGAACCCCACATACTTAATTTAAATCTTATGTGTTTGCTTATGTATATATATATATATATATATATATATATATATGCACAATCCTGCGTTCTGGGCCCTCGTCGCGAATGTTCCCTGCTAGGCTTTGCGCCAGTGTCGTGGATAGCGGCCGAGCTGAGAGACCACCCCCTGCGCACCCCCTGTGGTGTCGAGAAAGTGCCACGCCTGCTAGGCTTTGCGCCAGTGTCGTGGATAGCGGCCGAGCTGAGAGACCACCCCCTGCGCACCCCCTGTGGTGTCGAGAAAGTGCCACGCCTGCTAGCTTTGCGCCAGTGTCGTGGATAGCGGCCGAGCTGAGAGACCACCCCCTGCGCACCCCCTGTGGTGTCGAGAAAGTGCCACGCCTGCTAGGCTTTGCGCCAGTGTCGTGGATAGCGGACCGCTGAGAGACCACCCCCTGCGCACCCCCTGTGGTGTCGAGAAAGTGCCACGCCTGCTAGGCTTTGCGCCAGTGTCGTGGATAGCGGCCGACTGAGAGACCACCCCCTGCGCACCCCCTGTGGTGTCGAGAAAGTGCCACGCCTGCTAGGCTTTGCGCCAGTGTCGTGGATAGCGACCGAGCTGAGAGACCACCCCCTGCGCACCCCCTGTGGTGTCGAGAAAGTGCCACGCCTGCTAGGCTTTGCGCCAGTGTCGTGGATAGCGGCCGAGCTGAGAGACCACCCCCTGCGCACCCCCTGTGGTGTCGAGAAAGTGCCACGCCTGCTAGGCTTTGCGCCAGTGTCGTGGATAGCGGCCGAGCTGAGAGACCACCCCCTGCGCACCCCCTGTGGTGTCGAGAAAGTGCCACGCCTGCTAGGCTTTGCGCCAGTGTCGTGGATAGCGGCCGAGCTGAGAGACCACCCCCTGCGCACCCCCTGTGGTGTCGAGAAAGTGCCACGCCTGCTAGGCTTTGCGCCAGTGTCGTGGATAGCGGCCGAGCTGAGAGACCACCCCCTGCCCACCCCCTGTGGTGTCGAGAAAGTGCCACGCCTGCTAGGCTTTGCGCCAGTGTCGTGGATAGCGGCCGAGCTGAGAGACCACCCCCTGCGCACCCCCTGTGGTGTCGAGAAAGTGCCACGCCTGCTAGGCGTTGCGCCAGTGTCGTGGATAGCGGCCGAGCTGAGAGACCACCCCCTGCGCACCCCCTGTGGTGTCGAGAAAGTGCCACGCCTGCTAGCCTTTGCGCCAGTGTCGTGGATAGCGGCCGAGCTGAGAGACCACCCCCTGCGCACCCCCCTGTGGTGTCGAGAAAGTGCCACGCCTGCTAGCCTTTGCGCCAGTGTCGTGGATAGCGGCCGAGCTGAGAGACCACCCCCTGCGCACCCCCTGTGGTGTCGAGAAAGTGCCACGCCTGCTAGCCTTTGCGCCAGTGTCGTGGATAGCGGCCGAGCTGAGAGACCACCCCCTGCGCACCCCCTGTGGTGTCGAGAGAGTGCCACGCCTGCTAGGCTTTGCGCCAGTGTCGTGGATAGCGGCCGAGCTGAGAGACCACCCCCTGCCCACCCCCTTTGGTGTCGAGAGAGTGCCACGCCTGCTAGGCTTTGCGCCAGTGTCGTGGATAGGGACCGAGCTGAGAGACCACCCCCTGCGCACCCCCTGTGGTGTCGAGAAAGTGCCACGCTTGCTAGGTTTGCGCCAGTGTCGTGGATAGCGGCCGAGCTGAGAGACCACCCCCTGCGCACCCCGTGTGGTGTCGAGAAAGTGCCACGCCTGCTAGGCTTTGCGCCAGTGTCGTGGATAGCGGCCGAGCTGAGAGACCACCCCCTGCGCACCCCCTGTGGTGTCGCGAAAGTGCCACGCCTGCTAGCCTTTGCGCCAGTGTCGTGGATAGCGGCCGAGCTGAGAGACCACCCCCTGCGCACCCCCTGTGGTGTCGAGAAAGTGCCACGCCTGCTAGGCTTTGCGCCAGTGTCGTGGATAGCGGCCGAGCTGAGAGACCACCCCCTGCGCACCCCCTGTGGTGTCGAGAAAGTGCCACGCCTGCTAGCCTTTGCGCCAGTGTCGTGGATAGCGGCCGAGCTGAGAGACCACCCCCTGCGCACCCCTGTGGTGTCGAGAAAGTGCCACGCCTGCTAGGCTTTGCGCCAGTGTCGTGGATAGCGGCCGAGCTGAGAGACCACCCCCTGCGCACCCCTGTGGTGTCGAGAAAGTGCCACGCCTGCTAGGCTTTGCGCCAGTGTCGTGGATAGCGGCCGAGCTGAGAGACCACCCCCTGCGCACCCCCTGTGGTGTCGAGAAAGTGCCACGCCTGCTAGGCTTTGCGCCAGTGTCGTGGATAGCGGCCGAGCTGAGAGACCACCCCCTGCGCACCCCCTGTGGTGTCGAGAAAGTGCCACGCCTGCTAGGCTTTGCGCCAGTGTCGTGGATAGCGGCCGAGCTGAGAGACCACCCCCTGCCCACCCCCTTTGGTGTCGAGAAAGTGCCACGCCTGCTAGGCTTTGCGCCAGTGTCGTGGATAGCGGCCGAGCTGAGAGACCAACCCCTGCGCACCCCCTGTGGTGTCGAGAAAGTGCCACGAGCTGTGCTGTGCTGTGCTGAGCTGAGCCGTGCTGGGCTGTGCTGAGCTGTGCTGAGCTGTGCTGTGTGCTGAGCGGAGCTGAGCTGTGTGCTGAGCTGAGCTGTGCTGTGCTGTGCTGTGCTGTGCTGTGATGTGCTGTGCTGTGCTGAGCTGTGCTGCACGAAGAGTGAGGTGTGTGTCGCGGGTGCGGCGCGGCAGGGAAGAAAACCAGAACCCCACGAAGCATGTGGGGAATAACGAGTTTTCGAATCATCGGCTTCCGCTTCGCTGCGGCGCCTTCCAGCTTGACGACAGTCAAGGCGCACACGCCCAAGGAGGGCGGGATGCAACGATTTGCAAAAGAGTTTCCCGGCCCAGGGCCAGTATTCTAATCATCATTCCGGGCGCCGCCGCTTGAACACAACCCCTGGTCAGTTCCGTATCAATAAGCACCCCCTCTCCCAGGCGACATGCAGCCAACCAGGACAGGTGTCAACACCCACCCACCATCCATGTCAAAACACTAACACACTTTGGGGC